ACCCTTGTCCTAGTCTAGAGGCACTGAGGAAATCTGGTATTTCTAGACTTTCAGACTGTCAAGAAAGGCTGCAAATCCATTTTTTCCCCATTCAGTCCTGAGGCTTGACCTCTGGGCCTAGGTGCTGTCTTTGAGTTTTTTTTTTTCCCTTCAAGGCAAGTGCTCTACCGCTTGAACCACAGCTCCACTTATGGCTTTTTGTGACTCATCAGAGATTAAGAGTCTCATGGATTTTTCTGCCTAGGCTGGCTTTGAACCTCGATCTTCATATCTCAGCCTCCTGAGTAGCTGGGATTACAGGTGTGTGTTACCGGTGTCAGGCTGCAAGTCCAAACTTGAGGTGCTTTGAATGCCAGAAATGCAGGCTAAGCTCTCGTTCCCACTATAATGTGGGGTGCAGTGCTTGCTGTGGGGCTGGGGGTGGGTACAGGGCTGTGGGGCTTTGAGGCTGGGGGCTGTGTCCCTCCCGGTACACACTGGGAGCCCAAGATGTTACTTACAACACCCTTCTGGCTATATAGGAAAACACAGCCAAATGTTAAATACACACGCACTAATTACCATGAGAATATTTATCGAGGTTTCCCCACGTTGGAATAAGAAATGATTGAAACATACATCGCCTACAGAGCGGTTAATCATCGGTAAATATATTTTAAATACAGCAGTCCATTAGTATTTTAATTTAGCCTGTCTCACAGAGAATAGGGGTTGGCTTAGACAAATGGCCCCAGCTTTTGAGCCAAGGGGGGAAAAAGAATTTTCCTCACCTAGTTAATCTTTATGTTCTTCTCTCAGGGAGGGAGTTGGCACCAGCAAGAGCAATGTTCCCCTGGGGCTGATATTGATGGTGCACTCACATGGGAGACAAGAAGTCCCAGCCTCCCCGAGTGGGGAGTAAGCAGGGCTGGGAATAAGACTGCTGGGAATAAGGCCCAGCACACGTGGCTCACACCTGTCTTCCTAGCTACTCAGGAGGCTGAGATCTGAGGATCGAGGTTCAAAGCCAGCCCAGGCAGGAGAGTCCAGCAACTGATGGATTGAACCACCGTGATTATGGCCGTGACAGGACTGTCCAGCCGGGAAGCGCTGCCCAGAACTGTCCACCTGCTTCCCCTTCCTCCTGCTTTTCTGCTTAGACAGCGAGACCTCAGGGCTCACGGGTATCCTTGTCCCAGATAGAGCTGCCCCAAAGGGACAGACACGGTGACAATGCACAGAGACATTTCTCAGGAGCTTCTTCATTGGAGATTGCCATAGGGGCTTGTGGGACCTTTCCCATGTCAGCCATTTATTCACTCAACATACATCTGCCGGGCACCTGCTATAGATCAGGGACTGCTGTAGGCTCTACAGAGCGGATGAACCCCGATGAGGTGGTCTTGCCTTCTTCTAGGGGAGGGAGACAGACTGCAAACATGCCAACCCTCAGCAAACGATCATGTTTCAGAGCTGGGGGGAGTCTGTGAACTCCAGGGCCTAAAGGTGGGGAAGGAGGACTTACTGGGGATTGGGAAAGAGTAGCCAGAAGAAAATGTGGTACACACCCAGAGCCCCACTTTTATCTGAGTGGAGAGAGAGCAGGAGAAACAGATACTATATTTGTAGTTTCAAAAAAAAAAGGGAGTCATGCTCAGAAGACTGAGATCTGAGGATCGGGGTTCAAAGCCAGCCCAGGCAGGAAAGTCAAGGAGACTCTGATCTCCAATTAATTAGCCCCCTCTCCCCCTCCCCCCAAAAAAGAGCCAGAAATGGAGCTATGGCTCAAGTGGCCTTGAGCATAAAATAAAAGCTCAAGGAAGAGCACCCGGGCCCTGAGTTCAAGCCCCAGGACTGGTACAAAGAAACAAACAAAAATGGAGTCATGGAGGGAATTTAGGGGGTGAGGAGAAGAGCAGGACTGGAGGTTAGGGAGGAAGAGGATGGTGACAGAGTGTGGGGCCTACTCATCAGAGCTGTGTGTCAGCCAGCCAGCCTGCTGTTCCCGGGACAGGAATGCTTCGCCCAGACCATTCCATGCTCTCAGCCGGGCCCTGAGACTTAGCGATTTCAGCACTCCGGGGGCGGAGAGCTCCCTGCCAGGGTCCTGAATCAAGCATGCTCTGAGCAACTTTCCTCCCAGGGAGCAGCATTGGGATCAGTGCAAATGAGACCCCCTTGAGCCACATAGATCCACTTCCAGCCTTTTCTCAAGATCAGAATCTCACAGATATTCCTGCCCAGGCTGGCTTTGAACCACGATCCTCACATCTCAGCCTCCTGAGTAGCTAGGATTATAGGCCACAGGCAGCTGGTGTCAGAAAAGCTGTTTTTTTTTTTTTTTTAAATTTCCTTTTAGTTTTCTCCCAAGGAATGTGGGCACACACCTGTGCAGGAACACCTGCTAGACATTCATCACCTCAGAACCCTGAAAGCCCAGGATGGATTGTTTTTTTTTTTCCCTCGTGGAATTTACAACTCTCAGCCCCATTCTGTGTGGTTTTATGTCCCAGCCCCTGCATGGATTTCTCCAGGGCAGGATCCACGTACAACCACTCTCAGCATGTCACTGCCAATGAACTTGGAAGGGGGGCGCCACATACAGCCGTGTGCGATCAGCATGTGTTTTGAAGCTGGAATGGGAAGACCTTGCTGACAGACTGGCTGTGTGCTGCGTGAGACAATGGGACTGATGCTGTTGCAGGGTCTGACCTGAGCGGATGCTCTCTGCCCATGGGGAGGGAGGGGGGGCTTTTGGTGGAGGGGTGGGCGCCCTGCAAATGGAAGGTCATTCCTATCTAACTTTATTGCTTCCAGAAGTGTGGGATGTTTGGTAGCCAGGAGTGGTAGTGGATGTTTAGATGATACACAGACCCAAGAACCCAGAAGTACAAAAGTTAGAAAGCTATTTATCTTTCAGCTTTCCTAATGACTCTTTGGCTTATTTAAAATCCATCTCAGCCCGGTGGCTAATATGTTTTCAAACACTTGCTTATTTCCCTTTATAGAACAGAGATTGTGCTAAGGTCTTAGGGAACTGGGTTGGTAATAACATTCTACATAGGGTCAATAATAGCATGTTCCTGAGCTTTTCTGCTCGAGGCTAGTGCTCTACCACTTCAAACCACAGTTCCACTTCTGGTTTTCTGGTGGTTCGTTGGAGATAAGAGTCTCACAGACTTTCCTGCCTGGGCTGGCTTTGAACCTCGATCCTCAGATCTTAGCCTCCTGAGTAGCTAGGATGACAGGCGTGAGCCACCGGTGCCTGGCAAAGGTTTCTTTTTGCAAGTTTCCAACCCATGCAGAATGAGATCATTTGTGCATCTGTAAAATGAGGTAAAGTGACTTCTCCCCATGGCTTTGATAAATTTGTGCAAGGGTTTGAAACACTGCAGGTTGCTCTTTGGAGAACAATTATGGCTGTTGGGTTTCTGAGTGGAGACAGAGAGCAGGTGTGCTGGTTGAATCCCGGAAGTATGCCCTTAGACCTGTGCTAGCCAGTGGATCCTTGGAGTTCTGTGCCCAGACAGGAAGACTCGGGGCAATGGGAAGGGCCACCCACCAACACCCAGGCCACACACCCTGCACGAGGGAGCAATCCAGGGGTTTTTAGTGACCGCTAAGTCTAAGTCAACCAGTGAGACAATGAGCAGATCTGTCTTCTGCCATAAGTGAAGTTGAGAATGTACCGAGTTGCTCTTCTCCATGTAGGTGAGCTTACCATCGTGGGGCATGAACTCTGGGCCTGGGCACTGTCCTTCAGCTCTTCAGCTCAAGGCAAGTGCTCTATCACTTGAGCCACAGCACCACTTCTGGTTTTCTGGTGGTTAATTAGAGATAAAGAGTCTCATGGATATTCCTACCCAGGCTGGCTTCAAACCATCATCCTCCGATCTCAGCCTCCTGAGTAGCTAGGATGACAGGTGTGAGCCACTGGACATCCAGATGCAAGAGTAACTGTGTTTTTCATTCACTTGATTCCAGCTGTACACATAGAGTGGGTGTGTGTGAACTGGGATACGGCATCAATGTATTTCTTACCTTATATACAACAACCAGCATGCCAAACCACCTACTCGCATTCTATGGCTGTCTTTGGGTCTCTCGCTTTCAGAGGGGCGAGGGAACTATGGCTGGCCAGAGCAGTGTCTCCAGCCCTACTTTCTATAGGCCTTGAGCCCTCTTCAAGTGACCATAGTTAAGGCCTGAGGGTCAGAGTCAGCCCGCAGCCTGGAGCTGCCGAGCGGTGGGACAGGCAGTCTGGGATGTTGTCTGACAAGCTGGGCAGCACTGAGGCAGGTGGCTCCCTTGCTTGGGTGCTGATCACAGTCCATCAAGGAGTCTGTAGGTCAAGGTCAAGGTCAGGGCATTGCTGAAGGCACAGTCAGGCAGTCAGAGCTCAAAGTCAAAGGTGACCAACAACCCAGACTTAGGTCAGGACCTCTGTGATGGGACCCGGAAGGGCTGATGGGGCACACCCAGTTTGTGAACCCCAGACAGAGTGAAATCAAAACTGACGGGTGATTGAGAACTGGGATTTCAAATCCGGAATGACATTGGAAGAAAAGTGGGGAGCGGGGGGTGGGGAGGCCCATCTTTCTTTGCTGGATGGAGGAAACTATGATTTCACAGATCTCAAACCTGCTTTAGAAGGGCCATCTTTCTGAAGATGAGACCAAAGGAGACAGAAAGAAGAAACAATGAAAAGAAGGGAGGAAGGGAAGAAGAAAGGGAGGAAAGAATTGGTGGCAAAGATGTTGGGAAGCAGTGCTGGGAAGGAGGCTCTGTGTGTGTGTGTGTGTGTGTGTGTGTGTGTGTGTGTGTGTGTGTGTGTAAGAGATTGCAAATCGATAACCCATTTCCCTTGGAGTTTACATACTGCCCACAGGGTGATTCTGGACTTGAGGATAAATAGGGCCATATCCGACTCTTAGAGAACAATGAATCTTCTCGATGAGCCACACATCCTTCCCACAGGCCTTTGGGGGATCAAGTGCAGCTCTCCGGGGAAGGGCACTCACTCACGCTGGCCCGCCCACAGATGGCCTGCTCCCCACATGGCCTACGCACTGATGGGGTGCCGGTCCCCCAGAAGTCACTGTCCACAGGGCTGGGCAGGGCCATCCTGGATTTCTCCTGGCCACAGCCTGAGCGCGCACAGGTGTTTTGCTGTGATATTTCCACACATGCCACGAATGTACTTAAATCACACCCTATCACTCTTTTGCATTCTTCTCCTCTTTCACACACCTGGAGGAAATATTCTGGTCTGTCCATGTTCTCCTTTACCCTTTCATTTTACCCTTCCCGGTGTGGACAAGCAGTCCCAATCCCCCTGCAACCCCAAAAGAAGTATCTGTTTTGCGTTACTGTCCTTTTTTGTCAGTCCTGGAGCTTGAACTCAGGGCCTGGGCATTGTCCCGGAGCCTCTCTGTGCTCACCCTGCCACGTGAGCCACAGCGCCACTTCCAGCTTTTTCTGTGTATGTGGGACTGAGGGATGGAACCCAGGGCTTCATGCATGCTAGGCAAGCACTCTACCACTCAGCCACCTTCCCAGCCCCACTGTCCTTTTCTTTTTTAGTTTTTGGTGCTGGTTCTGGGGTTTGAACTCAGGGCTCTGCATGCTTTCTTGGATTTTTCACTCAAGGCTGGTGCTCAACCACTTGAGCCACAGCTCCACCTCCAGGTCTTTGCTGGTTAATTGGAGACCATTGTCTCATGGACCTTTCTCTCTGGGCTGGCTTTGAACCACAATCCATTCTGATCTCGGTCTCCTGAGTAGCTAGGATTACAGGCGTGAGTGCCCAGGACCCGGGTCTGGCATTCATTTCTAACGGACTGTTTCTTGCTCATGTGGGAGATCAAGCCATGTATGGTTAAGCCAGCACACAGTTGAGACACAGCACACTCACCTTCATAGCGGCTCTATTTACAATAATCAAAGCATGAAGTTAGCCTAGGTGCTTCATGACCAATGTGCAGGAAAAGAAGATACGGCATGTTTACACACAGTGGAGCGTTATTCAGCCAAGAAGAATGACTTATGTTGTTTGTAGGAAAATGGATGGAAATAGACACATTACTTTTCCCTCCCTCCCCCTCCTTCCCTCCCTCCCTTCTCCCTTCCTTCTTCTCTCCCTCCTTACTTCTTCCCTTCCTTTCTCCCTTCCTCCCTCCCTCCCACCCTCCTCCTCCCCTCCTCCCCTCCTCTCTCTCTTCCTTTCTTGTTAGAAATAAGGTCTTGTCTTGTGGCCCAGGCTAGCTTTGAACTTACGATCCTTTTGTCTTGGCTTCTCCGGTGCTGGGTGGCAGACATGTCCCAGACGATGGGAAATGTTTCTGAACATGCCTTGCGCATCACCTGACCAAGCCCTTTGTATCTCCAGGAAGGGAAATAAGATAAAGTTGAAGATGGGGCGGGGGTGGGAGGGGGAGGTGGAGGGTGTCTCTTTGTTGTCTTAATGGGTTAAGTGTGACCATTCCATTTTCCTGGGTGGCTGGACTTTCTGTAGGAGAAAATACCAGCCAGGCCCGCATACCCTGAAAGCTCTATTAATCTTTCCCTAACCCCATTAACACTCACTGCATATTTCCTGTAAGAAAGGATTGGCGGTGGCCATTGCCCGCAGTATGAATTACCCGTCATGCCCAGTGGCTGGGGGAGGCCGTGTATGTGTGTGTGTGTGTGTGTGTGTGTGTGTGTGTGTGCGCTTGTGCAATAGGTGAAGAATGGCTAGAAGCTACTTCATGCAGAATTGTTCGACGGGGGGTGGGGGGGGAGAAGGGGAGGGCAGCTTAGCAGCTTAGAACCAGACAATCAGGACTACAGAGTCACCTGCTTCACTTGAACCTGGGGTTAGAGGCCTGCTTCCCTCCCCCGCCCATCTCCTCTCTCCTCCCCCTCCCCTCCCCTCTGGGAAATCTAGAAAGGGAGATTTATTCATGGAGCAATCATGGAGAAGTTCATTTGATTCCAAGTGTGGATCTTTCAACCACAATCAATTTCACGCTCTGTCATAAATAATAGAGGTCGCCCAGGCAGCCAGGCTTTGGGGGTGGGGGGAGTGGAGGGAGCAGGGGGTCTGGCCGATGCTTTGATAGTATTCAAGCAGCAGCAACATAGACAAGCGTAGAGCCCACCAAGAGACTCAAGAGACAGAATGGCAGTTCTCCCCCCCTTTCCCTTCCCACTCCTACTTATTGCTTAATGAGGAAGACGATCAGACATTGTAGATTCACTGCTTGAGTATGGGGAGATTTTCTCAGAAAAACACCTCTACCCTGGGTGTACGCTTGGGCTATAATGATGCTCCACAGTGGTCCCCTCAGGCACCCTGGCCTGCTTCCCACTGAAGCCCTGTCCCGGGAGACTCCATTAGTGGACTTCGGTAATTGGCCTTGTTTCAGAGTTTCTCCAGGTCAGCTGCCCTGAGGGGTGGTGTAGGAAATGGCTGTTTGAAGTCTGAATTAGATGAGAATAAGGAAGAAAAAAGTAAAGGTGGGGGAGGGAAAAAGTAGTCACCCGTCTTGCATGCTTTAGAGAGGTTTTCCCATTTCGAATGAAATGAGATATAGAATTTTTTTAAAAAATAAAAATTTCATATCTGGAAGATAGGACTTCACTCAATCTCCCCGGTCTGGTTGTCTTTCCCTGGGCTAATGGAGTGGAGTCTTTGTGTCAGCTTCTTCTCCAGCCCCAGGCCCTTTGCACATGCTGTGTGCTTTGTTTTTTTCAATCTCTTCACTTAGCTAAGTCTTGTTCGATTTTCTAGATCCCGCTTTCACCTCAGTTCCTTGAGATGGTCAATTGAACCATTCTTTTGGGTAGGAATCACAGGTGAAAGGAACAAGCCAGTGGTGTCAACGGTCGGGTGAGCCAACTCCTTGCATTCTAGCCTGTAACTTCTTGGGGGAGCTGGGACTGCGGTTGGTCTGGTTGGATGCTGTGCTCTGAATCTTTAGATTCATGCCTGGAATAGGGGAGGCCTCATGTGTGTTTTAGACTCAATGCCAAAATAACTAAGAGCATGTCCCCTTGGGTCTGGTACCATAATCGCCTCAGGAACCAAAGCCAAATTAAGTCAGCCAGGGGCCAATGTGAGCTGGGTTGCAGCCTTCTACTGGGTTTAAACATGGCGGGCTGGTAGAGAGGAGAGATGGTACTAAGCAGGCTCGCCGTACCAGGGTGTGCGCAGATCTGCTCATGGCTGCAAATGCTCCTCATTGCTTACAGGGAACGCTAGAGATCTCTGCCACCCACCTGAAGCTGTTCCGTGCACATGAACTTAGAAGCTGGTATGTGCGTTGTAATTCCTAGCTGCTGGGGAAGCTGAGATCTGAGGAAGTGCGGTTCAAAGCCAGCCTGGGAAAGGAAAGTCCCTGAAAGTCTTATCTCTGATAAATTACTAAAGAAGCCACACGTGGAGCAGGGGCTCAAGTGGTAGAGTGTTAGCCTTGAGCAGCAAAACAAGACAAAACAAAAACAACCCTCCACCCACCCAACCAACCAAACAGAAAGCTCAAGGACAGCACCCAGGTCCTGAGTTCAAGCCCCAGGTCTAGTCACTCAGCTTCTCAGCTCTGGTCCACCTAGTGACTTTCCTTCCTGAGAACCCAGAGAAAAGAGGAAGACCCAGATTTCTGACCTTAGAGGAAGGAGACGATCGTGGAGGGAGCTTTGTCTCTCTTCTCCTGTATCAATTTTTTTGTTCTTAGTTGTGGAACTTGAACTCAGGATCTGGGTACTGTCCCTGAGCTCTTTTGCTCAAGGCTAGAACTCTACCACTTGGAGCCACAACACCATTTCCACGTATTTTGGTGGTTCATTGGAGATAAGAATCTCAGGGACTTTTCCTGCCTGGCCTGGCTTTGAACTGTGATCCTCAGATCTCAGCCTCCTGAGTAGCTGGGATGACAGGCGTGAGCCACCAGCTTCCGGCTGACCTCTTGTCACAGGACCTGTCTCTGCCCCTCCCCCTGTACCCTTCCCTTCCCCTTTTCCTTTGGAGACCATCCTCTGGTCAGGACCAGTCTCAGGAGAAGGCTTGGTGAAATCATTCATGAAACATTGATTTCCCCCTTCACTGATGAATTACCCTATAGGCCTGTTAACCTAAGACAGATCAGCCTCTGATACTAAAATCCACCCACATCTCCTATTTTTTTGTTGTTCATTTTTCAACCTATTAAAGATGTCTTCAACCAATATATCTGTGTGCATTTTGGATCTGCTGAGTATCAATTTTTCTACGCTTTTACAAAAGGTAGGATTCTTTTAACCCTATGTGGCTATCTATCTTTTCTCCTCTTTTAAAAAAATTTTGAATGATTTTATTTATATCTTCTATTTTTTTGTGTGTGTATGTGTGTTGGTCCTGTAGCTTGAACTCTGGGCCTTGGCACTGTCCCTGAGCTTCTTTTGCTCAAGGCTAATGCTCTACCACTTGAGCCACAGCGCCACGTCTGGTTTTCTAGTGGTTTATGGGAGATAAGAGTCTCACAGACTTTTCCTGCCCTGGCTGGCTTTGAACCTTGATCCTCAGATCTCAGCCTCCCGAGTAGCTAGGATTACAGGCATGACCACTAGCACCTGGCTAAAGAACATCTTTATCTGAGGAAAAAAATATCAAAATACAAAGTGTAGTTTTTAATTGGCTGCTTATCATCTTTATGCCCTTGTGAAGTAAATTAAAAAAAAAAGATAGGTTGAATTCTAGTCATTTTTCAGTCTTGTCTGTGAAAGTTCTGCTTGGCAATTTATGCTTTGGTTGGCAAATTTAATCTGTTTACATTTAATGTAATTACTAATAAGGAAGCACTTGCATTTGCCATTGTAGGCTTTGTTTTCTGTATGTCTTACAGCTTTTCTTGTTTTGTTTTTTTCTCTTCTTCCTCTTCTGTCTTTCTCTCTCCCTTTTTATACAATAGAAGGCCTTGAACCCAGGACCTCCTGGATTTTTTTTTTCTTACTTAAGGCTGGTGCTCTGCTACTTGAGCCACAGCTCCACTTCCAACAGTTGATCTGATTTCTTTTTTTTTGTAAGGACGTATGTTCACGTCCTTCACACTTATATTTTTGAACCTTCTATAGGGATTTCTTTAGCATTACCATGAGGATTGAAT